TCCGGTCTTTTTTCAGTTTGGTCTCAATCTTTTTTGGACCAATCCAAGTCTAATCTTTTTGTTCATGTCTAGATTAAGTAATGTATTTACATATTGTCTAACATACCATAGAGTTTTATCGAAAGGAGATGCCCACTCATTCAAAATGGATTTAAAATCATTAAATAGCAATCTAGGGTGGCCCTTTGTGAAGAAATCATCTTACTGCGAATTCTAAGGCATGTGAACCACATGAACAAGGCCATGGCTACCTGATCCTAAACAAAATGAATTCCGATCTCAATGTGCTTGATGCCTTCATATTGCACCCAATCATAGGAAATCAAAGGAAGTGAGTTCATGAATGATATGCTCAACGGATATCTAGTATCAAAGGGTATCAAACATAACTTATCCGCTCCATACACTCTACAATAGAACGACGTCGAAGTTGTCTAGGTTGATGCTGAACTTTGCAATCTGGTTATTATTTGAGATGAAGCTCTATCCACTACATGCTGCATTTAAAATCGTACCATCATAAACAAGCATCTCACAATCAATTAAATATGTTTTTCTGATAACAGTAAGTGTTCATCACTTTTTCACGTTTTATAATCTATTTTTAAATTACACCATACATCAATCCTTGTACCTTTTCCAAAACAAAGAGAGTAATAATTGTACATATACTAAAATGTTGTGCAAATAACACCTAACCGAAGAAACAACCTCATGGTTTTTTGAGCCACCTTCTTTTCTCTATGATTGCTTTATTTCTCTTTTGAGTGGTTTAAGGGGTAGGAAGAGCTTAGGGTTCCATGGGTTGGGCATAAAGCTTTAATGGAGGGTGTTGGTCCTTTCAATAAAGCAATATCTATCCTTGCCAGATTCCTTCCCTTACTTTTTAGTCTACAAATTAACAATCAATCTCTCATCACACTATTTTCAAGCAATCACCCTTCATTTCACTTTTTTCCCCTTGTTATCAGTCCAAGATTTGCTCTCAAACTACGTACTCCTTTATCTTTTCTCACACACACACAGGTCATCCCCTCAAAATATGAAGAGACCAAATTTATTCTTTTGAACTTATAATCAATGCTATTGTAGTCCGCCATCATCTTCAAAATCAATAATCTTTATGAGATAAGTGAAGGTGAAATATATAGTTGCATGGTTCTGAGTAGATTTTTGACGTTTTCTACAGAGACTTTCACACACACACACACACACAACACACACACACACACATATTTATATATATAATATATTAGATATATATATATATATATATATATATATATATATATATATATATACTCACACACGTTTTTGTGTGTGCTTCATGATGACTAATAAGATTTTACAGCACGTTCCTTTTTCCTTTTATATTCGTTTATGATATTAGATTTAGAACTACAAATAAAGAAGCTAAGTTTAAAACAAGACGCAAGGAAAAGCTGAATCATTTGTTTCTGCCTCAAGCACAACAAATTAAGTACAGTAACTACAAAAAAGGATCGTGAGGCATGACTGAAAATGGTTCATAATTAGGCATGTATTTGGTCATGCTTAGGGAGGATTAATATCTAGCTGTCTATGGTACCCTAAACAATTGTTAGCATCAAAGTGACTTGCTAGTAAGAAATCACTTGCCATGGACGATTACAACCTTAAAATCTTTCTGATTTATCTTTTATATACGGAGCTTGCCAATATATATATATATATATAGATATATATATATATATATATATTATTATATATATTATATATAATATATATATATATATATATATATACTCATAACTATTATACATTATTGAAATACATATATTATTTGATATACTTTCAGATTTGCTCTTTGGACAGCCACCAAGAGTGACTGCAAAGGAAAATAGTTGCGACATATATAAAATTTCTAGACAACAATGAGCAAATCAAATTTTCCTAGTGAGATAATCAAACATCTCCTACAGATTAAATCCTTAGATCATTTATTTTCTTAAAAGACAACGTTGCTCAAAATTTTCTAACACACATATATCACGAATTCCATAAACATGCATTTTTGGAACATCATCATTTTTATATATAAGTAATCGTTGTAGATACTAACAAAATGCACCGAATGCACATTAATGTGATTTAATTTCTTATATATACAACCAAGCCAAGATGATTGAGGATGAAGTTGTCAACATTCTTGAAGCTATCAAAATTTCATTAGAGAAAACCCAAATAAACAGATTATTCTTAACAAATAATACATGATTAGCAATGTACCACACAAGCACACACAAATTATCGGAACACTCCACATAGAAGTACAAGTAAACTCACCAACACATAAATAAAATCAACAAACATCATATAATACTGGAAAATTAAACTTAACATACAACATCAACCCATTAATTCTCCCTAGCTTCATCAGTGGATGGCGGATGTGAAACACTACATTAGTCGACCTTGGAGAGAATATCACATTCTTTCTAGCTACCTAGAGATTAAACGATCCAAGTTTCAGTTCATTGCTTCCCTTATAAGACTGCTACATGCAACTTTGAGCTGAAATGTACTTGAAATGCATCCTTTAATTAATCTACTAAGAAATCCTCTCTCCCTCCCTCTGAAAACCCTGAAAAACCAAATCAGATTATAGGAAATGTGTAGTAGTAGTGGAAGTACTATTGACACCAGAAAATCCAGCCCATGCAGTTCCCACCCATGGTTGGTTATTTGTACTTTCTGAAACACCAAGAAACTGCCTTGATAAATTTAAGCCTCGGTTGTCTTCCATCTTCACTGGAGGATCTACCTGATTATTATCAATCTCAGAGTTTGGTATTCGTATGTCTCCTCCTCCCATGGATGATGATGGTGCTTCAGCTACACCTTCACTTTGATAGTGAAATAGATTACTGTTACTGGGTACCTCAAATCCAGCCATGAAAGGCAATCTCCAATTTTCAACCCCTCCAATTGATAAAATATTGTTAAAATTGTTCCCAGTTGAGCTCCCACTTCCTAATTGAAAATTACCCATTTCATTTTGAGACTGAAATCCACCAAGATTTGAACTAATATTTCCACCACCACCACCTCCATATTGACCCAGAGAGCTCATGAATGGCAATTGAAGAGAGGGAGGATGAGGGAGTTGAGTACTTGCCATAGTCTCTGTGCTACACCTTGATGGACTTTCACTAACAGATTTAAGCCCGGGTTTGGCTTGGAGATTTTGAGCTTCTGTTTTTGCTATTCCTTTTGTTCCTCCGACAACCTCCTCCAACTGGAACATTTCTTAGAGCACCACCTCTGGTCCAATAGCGCCTGCATGTCTTGCAAAAGTGTCGAGGCTGGGTTAGACTATAGTTGTTGAAGTAACAAAACTTGGTGTTGGTGGAATTGCAACGTGGGCAGTTTAATCCTGGCTCCGGCATGGGTAACTTGGCCATCCTTGCTCGATCTACCATAGATCCTGGTCTGATCGAACCTTCTCCATTTGCACCACCACCACCACCCCCGCCACCAGGTTGTGGAGGAGGAGGTGGTGGTGGGAGATTAGGATTTTCGCCACCAGCACCACTTGCTTGTTGATGGTTGGATTGTTGCAACTGATAAGAAAAAATAAACAAGCAAACAGAAAGAAAAAAGAAAACAGATGAGCTTACAAGAGGTAGTTATGTACATGGTATATTCAAGAAAAAGATTTGAAGAGAATATGTATGAATGAGTATATATCATCCTTCTTTTACATATATGCTTTTCCTTTTTCATTTGAATGAAAAATTAATATGAAACATTGAAAAAAAGGATCATGTATCAAAGAGATAAGCTTAAAGATCATACCTGGAGATGCCAATTGTGGTGATCTAGATAGGGTGGAGCAGATGAGAAAACCATGGTATAAATTAATTTGATCTCTCCTTTTCTCTTTTAGAAACTTTTCAAGGGTTTTAATTTTGATAATATATGAGTGTGGGGAATCAAACACAAGAGAATAATATACAGAAAAGAGAGATTAGTGAGAGAGGAGGATGAGGAGAGGAGGATAAAAAGAAAAAGAAGAAGATGATGGGATGGCAAAGATAAGGGAGAGGAGGCTTTTGTTTTGCTTATTTCTATTGTTATTTTTATTTTGTAATTTGCATCTCTCTTTTTGTATTCATTATAATAATTAGGGTTCTTGAAGTGAGTGGACGAAGTTTCTTAGCCTTTAAGCTTTCTTATAGTGACGCTGTGCCACAGTACTTCTTCTTAGTGCTTGGGTAAAAAAGAGAACACTGACTCCTTTGATACGCCCACACAAAAATCGGTATCTGTTTCTGCATGCATGTAAAAGTACTATGGATGTGTGTTTGTGTGTGTGTGGGTGGGAGGGGGGACTGTCTTGCAAATGGACGAGCTTAATGCACATTATTTAGGCTAGGCAAATACTTAAGGTACACAAGTTTTGTCTTTATATTCAGATTAATAGTCATGGTCAATATATTAGATGGTGGATTATAGACATACTTTAGAGTGATCTATGGTATTCTAATAAGTGTCTTGCTATCTTTTTTTCTTTAATTTATATATTTTTAGCTTAAGTTAAAAAAAGAAAATCAAAGCGAAGACCAGACTCAAACCCAATCTCCATTTTTTTCGAGATAAATAGTGTATTTGGTGTAAATAGTCATTATCTATGACTCATTTCATAATTGTTTACACCATAAAAACACTCAAAAGTATATTATGTCTAATTTAGAATAATTTTTAAAAACACTATTTAGCATTTTCCAAATTTATGTAATTTTTTTTGTTAAAATTACTTTATATATATATATATATATATATATATATATATATATATATATATACACACACACACACAGAGTCGATCAAATAAGAAGGAAAATTTTGGTAGGAAGGGAAAAAAAATTTATATACATATTTTCTTAGCAAAAAAATAAAATGAATCATTAGATGACTCACAAGAAAAAATTCCGAAAAAAACACATTTATGATTCATTTTTAGGTAAATTAAGAAAAAAATTCACTTTTATGACAATTTTAGTGAATATCAACAAAATCATCGTAAAAATAAATCATCGAAATATTTTTTCGGAATTTTTTTTGGTGAATCATGTTATTATTGATTCATCTAGTGATTCATTTGTTTTGTTCGCCAAAAAAAAATAAGACGAAAAAAAATTTAACTTCCTACCAAAAAAAAATTTCTTACCGGATCTATATATATATATATATATATATATATTATATATATATATGTGTGTGTGTGTGTGTGTGTGTGTGTGATTGGTTATGGCAATCAAATTGGTTGCCTATATTCGTACTACCCATTGAGCCCTGTTTGCGAGGTTCAGTGAGAGGATTCATCTTTAGTAAAGATGCTTATACATGCAATATGTAGTCGTTGCCTAACCTTATGGCCACCTCTAAAATAAAACATGTCGAGATTTGACATGATGTCCTCCTTGTTGTAGGCTATATTCTCATTCTCCTCGACCGCAAGGCCACTCAGGTGATGGTTTAATGTCAATCTAATAAGAACCACCATGATTCCCATCAAAAAATTGAGCTCTAGTGCAATAAGAACCACCTTGATTCCTTATTGAACCTTAATCTTTGGTGGAACAACATTCCTACTATAGATGGATCGAGTTACTAACTCTTCATAGTACATAGTGTACTAATACAAGGCTTATATAAACACAAATAACAATGTAGGAAAACTTTAGGCCACATGCTTCCATGTTTGTATATAGTATCACTAATCAAACCAACTCTTTGCTTTACCTACAATTTTATGACATACCACCATTTTACAATTGTAACGTCCCAAAAATTTATAGTAAAATTTTCATTTAAAAAAAAACAGTAAACCATACAAATGAGTTGTTCCAAAACCAATCAAGTGATTATGTCAATTAAACAACAGAGTAAAATCATAAATTATCGATGCACAAAACTATGGGGGATGTGGTGCAGTCACATTGAACCCTTCCTTTTGGAATCAAGGGTACCTGAAACCATAAACATAAAAATGTAAGTACAAAGCTTAGCGAGTTCCCCAAAATACCACATACCACGCATAGAACAGAGAATGTTTGTGTGTCAACCATATTCTTACAATTACTATCATGCCATGAGCTGTTTCATGGTCTTTTCTTGCTAAGCCAGGGGCCAACAACCCAGGTCTTACAAACAAGTGCCAAGAACCACCTCTTGGTCTTCCATGCAAGTATCATAAAGACAACAAGCATCCTACATATAACTGTCAAGTTCCAGACCCCGGTCTTACATACAATTTTTTAGGAGCCATATCCAGGTCTTTCTTACAATTTCCAGGGGCCACCACCTAGTCTTCCTACATATATAATATCTAGTGGTCTGGTATTGGTGTCTTCGACTCACAAGTATAGTGAGGAGACTTGTCTAAATCACAAAGCTGACTAGAACCCAGCTTAATGTCGCGCCGACCACAACTAATAGCTCTCACCACAAAAAAGATAGATGCTAAACACCTCCTAATAATCCACACGAGGTAATACCTAAGTCTAACTTTTAAAAATAGAAATTAACCAAAATTCAACCCATGCCAAATGTCAACGGTCAACATTGACTTTAGTCAACTGCCACATTGTGGCCATCCATCGCCACACCGTGGCCCTCATACAGTCGAACAGATGAGCATTTCCCAGTCGCCACGTCGTGGCCGCCTAAGGCTACATCGTGGGAGCTGGGTTTCCAATAGCTTAATGGATTAAGCCATTTTCTTTAATTCCAAGAGCTCCAAAGCTCAGATATCGTCCATTCTATGATCTAAATGGATAAAGTTTCCAACTTTATCCATTAAGACGCTCAAAGAGGTCAAGATCTCAAACCCTAGGTCCAAATGAGGCTAGGTACAACAATGTTTTAACCATTAAGCGCTTAATCCTAAAAAGTCCTTAACCCGATCACTCCAGAGGAGTTTCTAATACCAGATCTAACATAAAGATGAAATCTTTATAGAGATGAATGTCTAATACATGTCTAGAATCCAATTTAGGTTAAAATGAGCTAAAATGACCAAAATCTCACGCATGGTCAAGAACCCCCAACCAAAGTCTAGATCTATAATATATGTTGCTTATGGGACTTAGGAGCGTGATAAAGTTTCCAACTTTATGTGTTCCTTCCATTCAAACATGCTTAGACATGAAGAACATGGGACGATATCTTAGATCTAACCACTTCAAGCCATAAAGTTTGAACCTTTGACACTTACAAAGGTCCAAAAGCAATGTACGATGTTAAAGATGTTGTTTCCTTGCAATATCCACCCATAGAGCACCTTCTTCTCCATATTCTCTTCTTCTCCATGCCAACAAATACTCCAAAAAGGCCACAAATCACCAAGGGAAATAAGTATGGGGTGTCTCCTTGAGGTAAAGGATGTTATAGGCTGGTAATGAGCCTTAGAAATGACTTAGAGAGGTTTAAATATGAAGGGAACCTTAAAAAGAATCATGGACTTTGGCCAAAAAAGATGCCACTGTGGTGGCTCAATGAAATGTGCGTTCTTTTATTTGATGTCACGATATGGGCATCCTTGCACCACATCGTGGCATAGAGTTTTTCCCCAAACTCCATCTTTATCCCCTGGTAATTACAAAGCTAAATCAGTCTGAAACACGGGTGTCACAACAATTCACTGTAACAATATGCTTACACGGTATACTTGTTTATTCCTACTTCCTACATGATCAAGTCATTTTACTAACATACATATCATATTGGCCATCCTAAGGACAATTACCTAATACTTGAAATTTCTACAATATATCATATTTCATTAAATGATCTAGGTCTTGATCCTACCTAAAATGTAAGTTGTTGTTGGTGTCAAAAGTCCTTTGGCCTTGATAATTACTTATACATATTTTCCAATCTTTTTGTCATCTATTCCCTAATATTTATTCCAAACACGTGATGATAAGTTTGTTTATTTCATCATTCAACTTGTTATTGAACACCTCACATATGTTGTTTAATAACATGTCACTATAAGTTCTTCTTGTAAAATGTGACCTAACCTAGTGTTTTGGTGGAATTTCATGTAATATCCTTATTTAAATATCGGACACTACTAAAAGTTCCATAATTCTACAACTCCTGATATACTTACCCTTTCCAAGTAAGTTTCATATTTATATGTAGACAAATGTAATATCTCGATGTTAAGGTATTTCCAATTGTAACCTTATGTATGATTAGATATTTCATTTTAGTCCCTGAGTATAAGAAAGAGTGCAAAATGGCCCATAGTTGCATTTTGGTGATTTTCGGCAATAGGGTAGTACGATGGGTGTACATTGAGCGTACAAGGGTGGACCCTAGTACGTTGGGCGTACACCTCGTACGTGGAAAAACACCACACCCTAATTTTTAGGGTTTGTTCCATATATAAACACCATTATAGCCTCATTTACCATTCTCTCATCAGCCCCCATCTGAGATTTTGACCCTCTAGCGAACCCTAAGTGAGAAGAGTGTTTTGAGCTTATTTGTGTGCCTTTTTGGTGTTCTTGAAGAAGGAGAAGTTGGTGCAAGAAACTTGAAGCTTGGAAGCAACTTAGATCTGGGATTCCTCACTTGCTAGCAACCTCCAGGATGTAAAAAGTTCATAACTTGATCACTTTATCTTGTAGATCTAGCCATTTCTTCCTTTAGGGCACTTTGGTCCCACATATGGTGATTCTTTAGAATGGCATGTTCTTGATCAAATACGTTGTCGTCTCAGACCTTATGGGGGGTCTTAAGTCATAACATTGTGGTCTTGATGGTTAGTTTTACTCCATGCATTCTATAGAAGGTCTTAAGGCATTAAGATGTTGAGATTTTGTGTATTAAGCAATTAATGGACATGTAAAGTTATAAAGTTGGAAACTTTATGACTCTCGATGGTATTTTAGCCTTGGATCTGTAATTTGGACGTGTTAAGTCGAAAAAATAAGCACTTAATAAGTTAAGAGGGGGACTGTTACGTACGTTGGGCGTACTGAAGGGTATGCTTGGCGTACGTAGATCTAG